ATATATATATATATAATATAATATAATATAAAATTTAACATAAACTTTGGTCAAATAATTAGTCCGATTAAATACATAACATTCAAAGTTAAGCATCAAAGATTATAAATCAAGAACTTTAAAAATCATTTGATTTTTAAGGATTTAAAAAAAAAAAAAAAACAAATTTAGGTTAAGTTTTTTTTTTCGTTTAATTAATCTTCTTTTGATTATTTTGATTAGAACAAAACTTAATATTTTAATTATACTTTTGCATTATTGGTATGATTTAGGTCGTTATGATATTAATATTTTTTGTATGTATTTTTATAATGGTACAATTATACATTATTTTACAAATATTATACTATTATTTTTTTATCGAACAAAATTGTTCTTACATCATTGTTAGAACTGCGCGACCTAAATACAGAGTTGTTGATAATAAATACAATTACACCTGGACTCTAAAACGGTAGGACCATTTTCCAAAGAATTGACAATGTTGACATCCCACAGTCTCCAATTGGACAAATTTACACATCGAAATTTTATCAATGCATCAAAACTTCTAAAAGAAATTTGTAAGTTAATTTTTACTATATCATTATAACAATATCTATTGTAATTATATATTTTGAATTATTTATTATCATCCTCTACTGACAGGAATTGTAACAATTGTCATTGATAAACTCTCAAAACAATTTGTCTCAACAACGAATGTAAATTTAAAAAAAAAAAATCAATGATTTCATTATTGTTGATGAAAAGTATGTACGACACTTTATTAGTCTTATTAAATTAGTAGCTACAACAAAAAAATAATACATATGCATTTAATTAATTTAGAATTAGATGTCTATAATGCCTTTATTTTTTTTTAAAAAAAAGTTATTCATTATAAAACATTTAAAAAGAGATATAATTTCATTAGCTATATTATCTTTATTTTCTACAATTCAAGGATTCATTACCTTCAAATTTATTAATTTATTATATTAACTACATTGTCCACTGTCTTCTTTTTACATTATCTTGTAATTAAATATCAAAGTTATAATACAAAATATGTTATATATATTTATTTACCAAGTATTTTATACAAATATAATAAATATTAATATTTTGTTCAATACTTTCACATGATAACCTACGACACACATCTCACAACGCATGAAACATGTATGAGAAAAACTACCACTACCAAATATCAATAGGTGCTTGTAAGATAAAGAGTTAATAGTACAACTAAGATCCCATCATATACACAACAAGACAAATCTAAAGCTTCCTAGATCATAATCTCATTGCATGATGAATTCTCCATGCTACCACCAATAACCCAATTGCACATAACACACTACCAATAAAATAAAATAAAATAAAATAAAAAACAAAAAACAAAACAAAAAGATGACATGTACTGCAGATGAAGACAATTACAATGCTACCCAAAAGAGAATTAAGAAGAATTAGAGAAATTTAATCAAAAGTAGTATTTATTTAGACTATCGTTTTTAGACTAAGTATTTATACTAGCGTTATTACAAAGTTGCAAACATTTATTTTAGTGACAATATAATCCATATCTCATATATTATCTTGCATTTATATACTTTAAATTACCGATTTAAACAAACAAATTTAATATTTATTTACCTACACATAAACATCTCCGATATAATGTTGCATTGATATACTTTGAAATACTTATTTAAAAATAATCATTGAGCATTAAAAAAAAAAAAAAAAAAAAAAAAAAAAAAAAAAAAAAAAAAAAAAAAAAAAACTAATATCAAGCAAATCAAACAACACAGTGAATATGCCAATTTCATAAAATAGTGGTCCTTTTGGATAAAATAGTTAGTCTATCAGTTAATTTTGACTTATTTGATCAATATTAGTTGTCTCACTTGGTTATACAATCAATATGAGTATTTGATTAATTAGCTTTTTGTAACAAATTATTGCTCCAAAATGTTAAAAGTCAAAAAGCTACTCAAAATAGCTTTTTGGATCAATTTTTTGAGAAAGTCATTTTGTATATATGTAATCAGCTAACAGCTAACAGTTAATTTACCAAACATTTTTCTACAATCAGCTAATACAATCAACTAATCAAACTCACTAACCTAATCAGACAACAGTCACTTACCAAACAATCAAAATATTATTTTATTCTGGACTTATTTTACGAATAAATCAAATGTGGTATTAATATATAATAATACCATTGAGCAAGATCTTTTAATTTAAATCCATTAATAATTATTAGTGCAATACTTCACATCAAAATCGTACAATGTGCACTAGCTTGCATAATATTTAAATATTGATTCCCATTGGAGAAGTGAGAAGAATGGGTATATATAAATGGCACAATGCCACTCAGGTTTTCATGCATGAGGTGAGCCAACAAGTTTGTTGTACTAAAGATTAAGCAAGAGCTGCATGCCACATTTAAGGTACCAACTTTCCTCCTCCCATTTTTACAACTTCCCTCCCGTACTACTATATCTTGTGTTTTAAAATATAAATAAAATTGTTATTATCTTTGAATGGTATCTAGAACGTTGTTAAGTCAACGATCACAATTTATATATATATATATATATTGGATACTTTACTTGTGAATTAGCATGGTATATATACTTCACCACACAATAATAAGATTGATGTTAATGAACTTTTCATATGCATTAACTATTACAATTAGGTTAAGAAAATGTTGCTCGCACTAAATGTTATGATTCTTAATATTGCGATGTCAAAAATCAAAATTTTTTATATACATCAGATGCTATACTTGTGAATTAGTGAGCTATCCTCCACCACAAGTTAATCAATTAGAGGTTACTCAATTTTTTTATAAACATTTACCATTAAAGCATCCTCATTAATTATTATTTTCTCAAGGTTAAGAGGGAGAGGGAGAAATAAAAAGGGGAGAGGGGGAGATATTAATGCACTTGCTGCGCATGACAGGTGTGCCCAACGCATCATGGGTAGAGTTTTGTTTTATTTCTGTCAATGAGATTCAAGAAAAAAAAAACAAAAGAAAAAAACAAAAAATGTTAAGATTTGCAAGAGTAATTTCCTTTTCTCTCATCTCACATCGCTCCTCTAATTAAGTTAAAAATATTTTTTTTAAAAAAAATCACTAGAATCTCTATTGCCGCCCTATTGGAGATACTCTTACACTCCCATAAAAAAATATTGTTATTACAAAATTTAATGCTATTTAACGTGAGTAAGTTAAAGATCACAATTTTCTATTAGTCATAGTACGTCGAATAATACAAAAACAATTATTGTCCTAATTGTGTTGTAGAGGCATTAACTTAGTGATTTTGATGTATGTGGGTGTTCACGACGTATGGGACAAGGTTTCTTGTGATCATTAGTTTTTGCAAATGTCACTTCACTGCTTTTATAAAGATAAATATACAACTTGAAAAGGCGTGCATAGTATTTGTGTACTGGCGTTATTTATTAATATAATATATAATTTCGTATAAGGACGAAAGCTGAGTCGTTCTCCATTGTTTGGCGCATTCACAACCCAAATGAAAATAGAAAAATTTTAAGGAAATTTTTTAAAGAACAAAATGGGGAAAATATTTGTTTATCAATTCGTCCCATTTTGTTTGTCTTATTTGATTGACGAGACTTGACTGATGTTATTTTTAATTCAATTTTTCATAATATTAAGTTTAGTATTAGTATATATATAATTTATATATTTAGAAATTACATTTAAAGTACTATTAATTAAGCACAAAAAATCTAATTTAAAAATAATTAAAAATTACTAAAGAAAATAAGTAATAAAGAAAGAATTAGTTTGACCAATAAATAATAAATATGACAGATAAAATGGAATATAGATGGAGTAGTAGTACTAGTTGGCCTTCTTCAAGAATACAAGCTATAGTTTTTCAGGTTTAATCGTTTGAATATAATACAACCTATTTTGTTTATCTGGTTAGGTTAATGAAGTTTAACTGAAGTTATTTTTAATTCTATTTTTTATAATATTAAGTTTAATATTAGTATATATAAATTTTATATATTTAAAAACTACATTAAAAATATTATTAAACACAAAAATATTTTTAAAATAATTAAAAATTATTAAAGAAAATAAGTAATGAAAAATAGTTAATTTGACCATTGAATAGTAAATAGAACAAGTAAAATAGGACAGAGGGAGTAACTAGATTGAATTTACGACATTTTATTCAAACAAGTCACATGTGTAACATTTTCATTGATAGCTTGATCAATTTGTTCTTGAGTGTGCGAATTTTTGTTAATGTGGTAGGCTCTTTATAAACAAATCACATGGTAAATTATGGACAAAAAACAACTTTAGTGTGCGAATTTTAGTTAATGTGGTAGGCTCTTTTGGAACACCAACCACCAATCTTTTGACTTAATAAGTCATTGAATCATAGTGATTTACCCCTTCACTATTCCAATCATAGTGATTTACCTCTTTACTATTCAAATACCTAACGTGGTTGGCTCTTTGGATGTTCATTTTTATAAGGTACATTATTTGTGTAGTGAAGGTCCTTCGGCATATTAAAAATGTACCTTATGTTAGTGGTCTACCTTACAAGATAGACCATGGTACCTGTATAATTTGCCCCACTATTTTGTGCTGGCCCTAGAATTTCTTCTTTTATGGGTAAGAAAATTCTGGCCAAAGAAGTTAAGTTGGGAATTTAGGAGTGGTGAAATCAGGAAAAGTTTGGTTTTGCATAAAAGTAAACTAGGAATTTAAGATGAATGAAATCAACAAAAATTGAACTTTTAATTGAAAAAAAAAAAAAAAAAAAGTTAAACTTGTGGTAGTTTAATGAAATCAGCAAAGTTGAATAATGCATGAAATTAAAGTTAATCTGGTGGTAGTGTTTTCTCTTTTGACTAGACTATCTTTTATGCCAAGTACAAAGGAAGATCAGCCACACCTTCCTTCCTTATTCATAATTTCTTAATATTGCCTGCAAATATTTTTTAGTCTCATTTGTTTATATGCATAAATTATGCACGCATGAACCACAAGTGTACGTGTCTCTTGATTGCCATGGTTTCTGGACATGCATGGTTTTGTTTTCTTTATTGTTTTTTGGTTAGTGACAAGGAGATTGATGCAGGTCTATATATATACAACTGCATCTTCCCCGCTTTTCATCGTATAGGTTAAGTTGTATTTGAAGCTGTTGAGTTTCATATCATATCATGGCTGAGAATCATGAGGCTCAACCTCAGAAGACATGGAACATACCCTTCTTGATTGTGTTCAGTGGAGCCAGGTTTAATTAATCTCCAAAACCCCCATTGTATTGTGTTGTTCTTTCTAGCTAGCATATATAATATAATATATGAATATAAATGTGTGGTTGTCCAACTATCAGCTTAGTCTTTTAGTTGAGATGGAGCACATACTTCAGTTCAGATGTGTGACTTCGTTTTGGTCATGATGACAGGAGTCTTTTCAAGTTAGATGATCTCGGTTTGGAGATACTGCGTATCGCGCTCCCTGCTGCTATGGCATTAGCAGCTGATCCCATTGCTTCTCTCATTGACACTGCATTTATTGGCCGTTTAGGTGTGACTTAATTCCATGTTTTTGCATTGTTTGGATGGCCCCCTTAGCTTAGCTTGTTCCTCCGACATTTTGGTGTTGTTGGAGGATAAATCTATTAGGATCAAGCATTTATCACTATACCAAAAGCTATAGTTAGTTGCTGGATTTGGCCTTTAACAGGCCTCCGCCCAACAATTTCTCTCTGTACCTGCCAATCTTAACTGCGCGAATCCGTGACCTGACCCTCTAGCCACCAACTGATGGACTTTGCCCTTTACCGCCCAACAAAATGTTCATTTATGTTGCAGGTGCTGTGGAGATTGCTGCAGTGGGAGTTGCCATTTCCATAATTAATCAAGCCAACAAGGTTACCATATTCCCTCTTGTCAACATTACCACTTCCTTTGTTGCAGAGGAAGATACTGTCAAAAAGATGGCCGATTCCTCCTCGTCGTCTGCACCGGTTAAGGGCGACGACGACAAGAAAGACAACCCGGAGGGCTCCGAGCTTGAGAAGCTGGAGAATGGTTTAGCCACGAGAAATGAAACAAAGGAATCTGGACAAGAAAATGGTGTGTGCTCAATCACTTTGGCTTGAGCTAGGGATGATCATCTTGGCTTAAAAAGTTTCTTGTTCTTTTTTTTTTTGTCAGATCCTAAAACAAATGTATGCAAGTCCCCTATTACTGCTGATACCAATGCAAGCAAGAAAAAAGCGAAATGCGAAAAGCGCAATATCCCTTCAGCTTCTACTGCACTGGTTATGGGCACCATTCTTGGCCTTCTCCAAACCGCCTTCCTCGTGCTTCTGGCAAAACATTTGCTCGGTTTAATGGGCGTCAAATCCGTAAGTCCACTGCACATCTTTTGTTACCCAAAGATGCAATTTGTATCAGAACGATAAACTATATGGTCTGGTCTTGTTTTCCCACAGGGATCTCCCATGTTAAGCCCTGCACTGAAGTATCTGGAACTGAGAGCCCTCGGTTCCCCCGCAGTACTTCTCTCGTTGGCAATGCAGGGCGTCTTTCGTGGTCTAAAGGACACGACAACCCCTTTATATGCCACCGGTAGTGAATCGATTTCCATCCTTCTCATTCTTGATCAGATGTTTTATCTTATTAATTAACCATTAATTTTTCTGGCCTAACAGCTATTGGAGATATAGCAAACATAATTTTGGACCCAATCTTTATATTTGCTTGTCATTGGGGTGTCAGTGGTGCTGCCATAGCTCATGTTATTTCTCAGTAAGACCACAGGCTAACAAGACTTACAATTCCTATATATTGCACTTATCGCGTTCAACTTCTTAACATTCAAACGCTTTCGTTCTCCTTCAGGTACTTGTTAGTAGCAATCCTATTCTTCAAATTGGTAGGAAAAGTTGAACTGGTACCACCAAGTTTCAAAGATTTGCAGTTTGGTAGATTTCTCAAGAATGGTGAGTCTTGTTCATACTTAATGGAGTGTTTCTTTGAACCTACTGGTTTTCTAAAATGTTGGTGCAATTTATACCTCAGGGTTTTGGTTACTGGGAAGGGTGATAGCTGTGACATTCTGTGTGACCTTGGGTGCTTCACTGGCTGCAAGATTTGGTCCAACAGTCATGGCTGCCTTTCAGGTTTGCTTGCAGGTCTGGCTAACATCCTCTCTACTCGCCGATGGCCTAGCCGTTGCAGGACAGGTAAGGAATCATTTTATGACTGTTGAAATTAGTCAGAACAATAAACAATAATAATGGCAGAAAGTAAAGAAAACATGATTTATGTGGTTTCCCACGTCCTTTAATTTATAGTGATAGTGATGGTGGTAATACTGGTGATAAAACAACTTAAGGATACAATCAATGTATTTATAAGCATCTAAGCTCATATGAGACAAACTCAACAGTGACTAACAAACCCGAGTAAGTAGCTAATTTATCAAAAACATTTCTATAACCAGCTAATACTATTAGCTGATCAAACTGACCAGCTAACACGATCGGCTTTAAACTATCAGCTAATTGTCAAACATCCTCTAAATCCACTTCTTTGTACTCTATTTATAGGCAATTCTTGCATGTGCATTTGCTGAAAAAGACTACAAGAAGGCAAAGGCAACAGCAGCCAGGGTTCTGCAGGTATGATGAACTTATAAAATCCTAGCTAGCAGTACATACAAACTCTGCATTAGAAGGTGCAGATTTTCTGAACCAGATTGTGTTATGCAGATGGGATTTGTAATGGGACACGGGCTTGCCGCGGTGGTTGGGCTGGGATTATACTTCGGGTCAGGAGTGTTTTCGAAGGACAAGAACGTTATTCGCCTCATAACCATTGGCGTGCCGGTATTTCAACAAACTCTAGCCTCACACATGATTTCTCAGTGTCTCTCTATAACACTTTTTCTGTCCCTTCTCTAATCTTGTTTTGGTACCCATTGCCAGTTTGTTGCAGGCACCCAACCCATAAATTCAGTGGCTTTTGTTCTTGATGGTGTTAACTTTGGAGCATCTGACTTTTCATACTCTGCATATTCAATGGTAAGCTTACGTTACATACTGTTAGGATCAAACACTTATCACTATACGCCTCCTTATATACTGCAACGCCAAAAGCTATAGCTCAGAGCGAAGACCCAACTTTATTTCCTTATATACAGTCACATTTTCGAGAGACAGGAAGCTGAAGTTGGTCCTTCGTTAACCTCCGCCTAACAATTCCCCTAAACATCAATTGCTGAACTTGACCCTTTACCGACATCTGTCCAACAAATACCACTACTCTTATCCCTCACTTGAACTACCCACTAAGATGAAATGATGTTTATATGTATGCAGGTTCTGGTGGCAGGACTAACAGTTGTGACAGAGTTTTTGCTGGCAAAAAGCAATGGTTACATAGGAATATGGATAGCTTTGAGCATATTCATGGTTCTTCGTACAATAGCTGGTTTATGGAGGATGGGGACAGGGACAGGACCTTGGAGTTTTCTGAGGATCAAAAAACCTAACAAATTGGAATCCACTTCTTGAGCTCTACCCAACATCACACATGTTTTACCCACATATGTATTTGTAGAAAATAAAGATATATATCTCCTTAACTAGGAATTGTTAGTACATCTGTCATCCTCCCTCTTCCCCCTCCCTACCCCACAAATAAAGGAATATCTCATCCTCAATCCCCTGCTTCTTACCTCTCTTTTATTCACTTAGTATTTTCACTCGTGCGATGCACGACCATTTTGTTAGAGTATAATTAAGGGTGTGTTTGGTTCGTACATGAGAATCAGAATCAGAAAGAGAATCAAATACTTGATAATGATATGGATTTTAGTGAAAGTATTTTGCATGTTTGATAGTAGAGTGGAATTGGATTGATTATCAATATTGATGTTTGATTATGTATGACCCGATAATGGAATAAAAGTTTTAAAAAAAAAAACAAAAAATTAAGGTGATTGATCCTAATATAATGACATCAAAGCACCAATATGTACCAAAAAAAAAACAAAAAAACAAAAAAAAAAACAAAAACAAAAACAAAAGCAAAAACAAAAACAAAAACAAAAATCTAAAAGCACTAATTCAAAATTAAAAATTATATTACCAATAAAATGAGATGATACCTTTTTCAATTATGGAATGAAATTTTCAATTGAAGGGGTAATCAAATCCCATAATTTGTATTTTAAAAAGTTACCAACCAAACACTAACTATGACTTTGATTCTCATTATATGTAAACCCTGAACCAAACACACCTAAAACATATTAAATGCTCAAAACATTCAGAACCCAAATGAAAATGGAAAACTTTAATTTTAAGTACATTTTTTAAAGAATAAAATGGGGAAAATATTTGTTTATTAGTAGTAGTAGTTGGCCTTCTTACAAGCTATAGTTTTCTCAGGGTTTAATCTTTTGATTATAATAACAACTTTTAGACTGAATTTACGACTTTTATTCAAACAAGTCACATGTGTAACATTTTCATTGAAAAGTATGAACTTCATCTAAAATTGTCACTATATTCGAGCCTTATGGGAACTTTGAGAAGAATTAGAAAATTCTGAAGTTGTTCTGAGCTCGATCAATTGGTTCTTAAGCGGTAAATTATAGATAAAATATAAAATAAAAATATTATTTGATAGATAACTTTTTGAGTTAACTTTTAACTACTCCGTATTTGGTAAGAGCATTCATATCACTAGAAGATTTTACACAATTTTTTTAGGTGATACTAGAAGAGAGACGAGAGTTTGAAAAGAAAGAAAAAGAAAAACAAAACAAAATTTAAAGCAAGCTAGCAAACACTGGCGCGTGCTGTGCTGCGTCTCCAGCATGTGCCCAACTGGTGCGCTGCGTCTCCAGCATGTGTCCAATTGGTGCGCTGCGTCTCAAGCACGCGACTACTCATGTGGAGCCCATTAAAAACTTGTTCTTGCATGAGTTAAATGTTCCAAAAAATTAAATCACCTCCGACGTCGATAAAAAAAAAAATCAACCCTTATTTTTTGCACTGTACCAAAATCTCCTAAAAATCTACTCGTATGATTGCTCTAACTAGTTTCACTCATTAACATTTTGATTCAAAATGCAAAAGTTGAAAACAATTAACATTTTGGAGAAAATTTTTTTTTTTTTAATTCCTCCCAGGAGTCCCAGACGCCCTTATATATATATATATATATATATATATATATATATATATATATATATATATATATATATATATTTATATTTATTTATTTATTTATTTATTTATTTATTTATGGGAAAATAGCACTTTTTTCCCCTGAGTTATATACCTATAGCATTTTCCCCCCCTAAATGATTGAAGTGGCTGTTTTTCCCCCTGAAATGTTAATTGGACATATTTAACCTTAAACTAAATATTTAATTTATTTTTTTTCTCCAACAAATTATGACCATAATTTGGTTCAAACTAAACAAACACTATAGCAACCAAACCGAAATATTCCAATTACAATTTAGATCGAAATTCGATATTTAGAGTTTGTTAAAATCGTGAACCGGAACGGACGTTCATGTTCCGAACTGAAAAAATAAAATACATTTATTTTTGAATTTAGACTATTTTAAAATAAAAAATACAATTTCAAAATAAAGACAGTTCAAAATCGCGAATCAGATCCGGAACCGCCGGTTCACGGTTCAAGATTCAATTTTTTTGATACATAATTTTAATAAATTGACATTTAAATATTGGTTCTAGATCTGAATTATAACCGTAAACTATTAATTCGATTGCTTTAGTATCCGGTTCAATTCAAACCGAACCGTGGTCATCCCTACGTATACGCAATAATTTGTTGGATTAGTAAAATAAATAAAATGTTTACTTTAAGGGTATAAATGTCAATTTAATATATCAGGGGGAAAAAGCACCATTTTTAGAATAATTGAGGGGGCTAATGTGCTTACCTAAATAATTGAGGGAGAAAAAGTGCTATAAGTATATAACTCAGGGGTAAAAAGTGCCATTTTCCCCTTTATTTATTTATTTGGCTAAACCCTTACCCCAAACAATTCTAATATCTTGCTAACGAACGAAACCATTAATTGCACAGTGTATTTATGGTTAAATATAATCTCATTTATTCATTTACTTAAATTGGCACGCAAATTATAGACAGATTTTGATGACACCCTGTAATTATAGTCAAATTGAATTCATATACACTGGCCAACAATCTTTAATTTTTACTATTCACTATATGTTATATATAGAGGATGTAGTGTCATTTTAGGACAAAAGGTTTGTTTTAGCCTATAATTGGTGGCACATTATTTTTGTTCTACCTTATGTTAGTGGTTCACCTTACAAGATCGACCATGATACATGGTATAATTTACCCCACTATCCTGTGCATATATACGGAAGAATTTCGTCTTTTATGGGTCGCAAAAATTGAACTTTGCAAAAAAAAAAAAAAAAAAAAAACTGTAGTAGTTTAATGAAATCAGCAAAAGTTGAATGCATGAAATTAAAGTTAATCTGGTGGTAGTGTTTTCTCTTTTGACTAGACTATCTTTTATGCCAAGTAGAAGATCAGACACACCTTCCTTATTGATTTCTTAATATTGCCTGCAAATATTTTATAATTTAATTCCCTTCAAGGCTTCAATCCCCTCCATTCCTGGGCTGGAGCTTTTTCTCTTTCTTTTTTTTTTCTTTTTTTTTTTTTTTCCTTTTTTTAAAGTAGTATGTGAGGAAGGCAGATTGGAGCATGCTTAATTCATAGGGAAGAGGCATCAAATTTTATAGTCTCATATTTGAGATTATTTGCATTTTGCACGCATTAACCACAAGTGTGTCCCTTGATTGCCATGGTTTTGCATGGTTTTGTTTTGTTTATTGGTTTTTGGTTAGTGACAAGGAGATTGATGCAGGTCTATATATATATACAAGTGCCTCTTCCCCGGCTTTCGTCGTATAGGTTAAGTTGCATTTGAAGGTGTTGAGTATCATATCATATCATGGCTGAGAATCATCTGCAGGCTCAACCTCAGAAGATATGGAACATACCCTTGTTGGTTGTGTTCAGTGGAGCCAGGTTAATCTCCAAATCCCCCATTGTATTGTGTTGTTCTTTCTAGCTAGTCTTATTTAGGTGGTTGTCCAACTATCAGCTTAGACTTTTAGTAATTCAGATGTGTGATGCGACTTCGTTTTGGTCATGATGACAGGAGTCTTTTCAAGTTGGATGATCTCGGTTTGGAGATACTGCGTATCGCGCTCCCTGCTGCTATGGCATTAGCAGCTGATCCCATTGCTTCTCTCATTGATACTGCATTTATTGGCCATTTAGGTGTGGCTCTTAATTCCATGTTTTTGAATTGCATTGTTTGGATTCCCCCCTTAGCTTGTTACTGTGACATTTTGGTGTTGTTAGGAAGATACATCTGTTAGGATCAAGCATTTACCACTATGCCAAAAGCGGCTTAACTAGACGCTAGTTACTGGACTTGGCCTTTAACAGGCCTCCGCCCAACAATTTCCCTCTGCACCTGCCAGTCTTAACTGCACAGTTTTTGTGACCTGGCCCTCTAGTCACTAACTGATGGACTTGGCCCTTTAACGCCCAACAAAATCTCAAAGTTTTTGTTCATTTATGTTGCAGGTGCTGTGGACATTGCTGCAGTGGGAGTTGCCATTTCCATCATTAATCAAGCCAACAAGGTTACCATATTCCCTCTTGTCAACATTACCACTTCCTTTGTTGCAGAGGAAGACACTTTCAAAAAGATGGCTGAATCCTCCTCCTCGTCGACTGCACCGGTTAAGGGCGAGGACGACAAGAAAGACAACCCGGAGGGCTCCGAGCTTGAGAAGATGGAGAATGGTTTAGCCACGAGAAATGAAACAAAGGAATCTGGACAAGAAAATGGTGTGTGCTCAATCACTTTGACTTGAGCTAGGGATGATCATCTTGGCTTAAAAAGTTTCTTGTTTTTTTTTTTTTTTGGTCAGATCCTAAAACAAATGTATGCAAGTCCCCTATTGCTACTGATACCAATACAAGCAAGAAGAAAGCGAAATGCGAAAAGCGCAATATCCCTTCAGCATCTACTGCAATGGTTATGGGCACCATTCTTGGCCTTCTCCAAACTGCCTTCCTTGTGCTTCTGGCAAAACAATTGCTCGGTTTAATGGGCGTCAAATCCGTAAGTACACTGCACATCTTTTGCTTAACCAAAGATGCAATTCAAATGAACTAGATGGTCTGGTCTTGTTTTCCCACAGGGATCTCCCATGTTAAGCCCTGCACTGAAGTATTTGGAACTGAGAGCCCTCGGTTCCCCCGCAGTACTTCTCTCGTTGGCAATGCAGGGCGTCTTTCGTGGTCTAAAGGATACGACAATCCCTTTATATGCCACCGGTAGTGAATCCATATCCATCCTTCTCATTCTTGATCAGATGTTTTATCTTATTAATTAACCACTATTTTTTTCTGGCCTAACAGCTATTGGAGATTTAGCAAACATAATCTTGGACCCAATCTTTATATTTGCTTGTCATTGGGGTGTCAGTGGTGCTGCCATAGCTCATGTTATTTCTCAGTAAGACTTACAATTCCTATATATTGCACTTATCGCGTTCAACTTCTTAACGTTCCACTGCTTTCGTTCTCCCTCAGGTACTTGTTAGTAGCAATCCTGTTCTTCAAATTGGTAGGAAAAGTTGAACTGGTACCACCAAGTGTCAAAGATTTGCAGTTTAGTAAATTTCTCAAGAATGGTAAGTCTTGTTCATACTTGTTAAGAGTCGACATTGATAAAATAAGAGAGAACATATAGGTTTATAAGACCATGAGTTAGACTAGCTAATTGGTTGGATTCAATTTTTTAGTGTGATTTGGCTCATCTTATAACAATACTTATTATACCTCAGGGTTTTGGTTACTGGCAAGGGTGATAGCTGTGACATTCTGTGTGACCTTGGGTGCTTCATTGGCTGCAAGACTTGGTCCAACAACCATGGCTGCCTTTCAGGTTTGCTTGCAGGTCTGGCTAACATCCTCTCTACTCGCCGATGGCCTGGCCGTTGCAGGACAGGTAAGGAACCATTTTGTGACCGTTGAGATTAACCAGAACAATAAACAATAATAATGACAGAAAGTAAAGAAGGCAAGATTTACGTGACTAACAAACCATACTCAGAGCATAGTAAACAGCTAATTTACTAGCTAATACTATCAACTGGTCAAACCAACCAGCTAACACGATCAGCTAATTGCAAAACATCCTCTAAGTCTAGTTTCTTTCTGCTCTATTTATAGGCAATTATTGCATGTGCATTTGCTGAAAAAGACTACAAGAAGGCAAAGGCAACTGCAGCCAGGGTTCTGCAGGTATGATGAGCTTATAAAATCCTAGCTAGCTATACATACAATCTCTGCATAATGCAGAGAAGGTGCAGATGTACTGAACCAGATTGTGTTATGTAGATGGGAGTCGTAATGGGACACGGGCTTGCTGCGGTGGTTGGACTGGGATTGTACTTCGGGTCAGGAGTGTTTTCGAAGGACAAGAACGTTATTCGCCTCATAACCATAGGCGTGCCGGTATTCCAACAAACTCTAGGCTCACACATGATTTCTCAGTGTCTCTCTATAACACTTTTTCTGTCCCTTCTCTAATCTTGTTTTGGTACCCATTGCCAGTTTGTTGCAGGCAGCCAACCCATAAATTCATTGGCTTTTGTTCTTGATGGTGTTAACTTTGGAGCATCTGACTTTTCATACTCTGCATATTCAATGGTAAGCTTACGTTACGTACTGTTAGGATCAAACGCTTACCACTACGCCTCCTTATATACCGCAGCACCAAAAACTATAGCTCTGAGCGAAAACCCAACTTTATTTCTTTATATACCGTCACATTTTTGAGAGGCAGGATGCTAGACTTGGCCCTTCACCAGCCTCAGTCCAACAATTGCCCTAGCCACCAAATGCTGAACTTGATCCTTCACCGGTCCCTCACTTGAAGTACCCACTAAGATGAAATGATGTTTATATGTATGCAGGTTCTGGTGGCTGGACTGACAGTTGTTACAGAGTTTTTGCTGTCAAAAAGCAATGGTTACATAGGAATATGGATAGCTTTGAGCATATTCATGGTTCTCCGCACAATAGCTGGTTTATGGAGGATGGGAACAGGGACAGGACCTTGGACTTTTCTGAGGATCAAAAAACCTAACAAATTGGAATCCACTTCTTGAGCTCTACCCAACATCCTCAGTCCTCCCTCACACATGTTTTGCCACCCACATATGTATTTGTAGAAAATAAAGACATATATCTCCTTAACTAGGAATTGTTAGTACATCTGTCATCCTCCACCCACCCCCACAAATAAAGGAATATCTCATCCTCAATCCCCTAGCTGCTTCTTACCTCTCTTTCATTCACTAGTATTTTCACTCGTGCGATGCACGATCATTTTGTTAGAGTATAATTAAGGGTGTGTTTGGTTTACACATGGGGATTGAAATTGAAATGAGAATCAAATACATGGTAATGATATGGGTTTTGGTGAAAGTATTTTGCATGTTTGGTAGTAGGGTGGAATTGGATTGTTACCAATATTGATGTTTGGTTATGTATAGTCCAATAATGAGAATAAAGATTTTTAAAAAAATCAAAATTAAGGCAATTGATCATAATATAATGACATCAAAGCACCAAATATGTACCAAAAAAAACAAAAATCTAAAACCACTAATCCAAAATTAAAAATCATATTACCAATAAAATAGAATGATACCTTTTTAAATTATGGAATGAGGTTTTTTATTTGAAGCGGTAATCAAATCTCATAGTTGTGTTTTAAAAAGTTGCCAACCAAACACTAACTATGATTTTAATTCCAATTTCTAATGTGTAAACCCATGAACCAAACACACCTTAAAAATATTAAATGCTCAAAACATACTAAATAAAAAATAATAATATTTTTCACATTAAACAATATACAATTACAAATTATTAAAAACTTCATTGTAAACCACATTTTGAATAGTACTAAAAAAAATCTGTGCTTCCCCACAAATTAGAACCTTAAGATCATTTGAATTATTAACCCTTGAAACTACTACGTACAATTGATCATGGTTAAAAATAAACTTTTTTAATAACAAACCAACATAAGCTAAAGTTTGCCCTTGACTTTTATTTATTGTCATAGCGTATGACAACATAACAGGAAATTGCTTTCTTTGAATTTTAAATAGAAGCTTTGGGTCCGACAGAGTCAAAGCCATTCGTGGGATCAACACATTGCACCTTGCATTGTTTCCATTCAAAATCTGTGCTTCAATGACATTGTTTCCTAGTTTTGAGATAATTAATCTCGTTCCATTACAAAGACCCAATGAGTGATCGACGTTCCTCAAAATCATAACTGGAGAGCCAACCTTCAATGATAAGTGATAACGAATGATTCGGTATACCTGAACACCTCAAATTATTTAAAAATTTAGGAGTGTGAACTTCAGATAACATATCTGCATTTGTATATAACTTGTACACAGAATCACAACTCAAATACGTCTTAGACGACGCCTCATTCATACCGTTCATGTATTCATTCACATAGTCGACAACATCTAATGTCGGTGCCAATATGGCTTGAGTCTCCGGATCTTTAGGGTCCATTTTACCACTACAGTATGAAGGAAATGTGCTATCAACAATCTCTGGAATACAATCACCTTTAATTTCCAATAAAAACTCATATGCAATACTAATCTTGCACTCATCGTCATTGTTGGAACCAAGGTTTCCATCACCTAGATCAGCAATTCACTTTGCAAAAGTATCAAGTTTTTCAATTTCTTCTTCAGAGGTAATACTTTGCAAATATAAATTCTTTGTTATCGAAGTACTTGACAATTCTTCCAAAGGTAAGAAGAATTTATACTTGCTCGTACTATATCTTGTCTGGTTCCCTTTGGAATAAAAGGTAGTATTTGTAAAGTCACCACCAAGAACAACTATTTTTCCACCAAATGTCATATCAGAATTGCGGGGGTTGAAAAAACGCAATAAGTCTCTCATTGTCCTATCAAATGCCTCAAAGCAATGCTTATGCATCATAGGCGCTGTCTCAAATAATCAACTTGGATTGGACTATCAATTTAGCAAGCGGGCTACCTTGCTTAATGTTGCATGTTGAGTCTTCAGAAACAGAAATTGGTATAGCAAACCTTGAGTGTGTTGTCCTCCCACCAGGTAATAATAATGAAGCTATACCGCTAGACGCGACATTGAGAACAATCTGACCTTCCGATCTCAAAGCAGCTGAGAGTGTCTTCCATAATAATAATAATAATAATAATAATAATAGTTTTACTTGTTCCACTTGTATCCATACAAAAAAAAAAAAAAAAAAAAAAAAAAAAAAAAAAAAAAGACCTCAATTATTTGACTGAACATCTCCAAGTACTTTTTTGTAAATATCTATCTGTTCGTCAATCAATTTAGAAACCAAAATAACATGCTCTTGTTTTATTTAAGCAGCTCAATTTACTGCCAAGAATTTAAAAAAAAAAAAAAAACAAAAAAAAAAATAGTACTATTAACTCTATTATAAAGTAGTATCTATTCTATACTTTTTCTATCAGTTACAAACCAAAGAGTCAATACCTCACCACATAGGTTCGATACTGCAAAGAGAGTTATAGAGGTGCCAATTGAAGGCATCTACTTTGCTTTAAATGTATCATCTATGGATATAAAATTTTCCACAAATTAAATGCATCTTTTGGCTAGATCATTTTCCATGCGCATTGGAACTCCAAACTTTTAATATTTGTATATTTTATATAGGCCGTGTTTGGTAAAAAATTGGCCTATAAACCAATTTTGGCTTATTTGACCACTATTAATTGTTTGATTTAGTTAAAATATCAATAGAAATGTTTGGTTAATTAACTTTTTGCAACTCCAAAAGGCTAAAATTCAAAAAGCTACTACAAGCAACTTTTTCCATTAGCTTTTTGAGAAAAGAAACTATACCAAACAGCTATCAGCTAACAGCTAATTTACCAAACACTTTTCTACAATTATCTAATGTTATCAACTATTTATACCATTTAATTAACACAATCAGCTAACAGCAAACAGCTATCAGCTAACAACCATTTTACCAAACAGGGCCATAGTAAAAGGCCACATATACAAACAACCTTTCAAATTTCAAGACATTTAAATTTGATCTTTATGTAATTAATACATTTTTTTTTAACATTCAAGAAACGACACAATTTTGACTGAACAGGAAAATGCGATATCATCCTGCATCAGGTGGACTTAATCCACCCCTATCCCACCAGGCTTGTATGTATTCATGCTGGGCAAATTGCACACAATTGAACTATAATATACATCGACCAAATCACACTAAAAGATTAAATTCAATCAATTTAATCTATAGTATTATAAATTCATATATTCTCTCTCTTATTTTATAGTGAGTCTTAACAAATTTAATTAAGTTTATTATAATAGGCACTATAGAAAGACTAGTTTGGCACTCTATTTTGTCCTTTCTCTGAAGAAAACCTGCAGAAGCTGATTGCTATTACCTCTATGTTCTATACACAAGCAGAAGCCTCCAGATGATTTCAGCCCACCACTGAAAGCAAATACCAAACCCACAGAAAGGGTACCTAATCAATCCCACATTTCACTATCACAATTCACAAATTAACAAGGCTCAGTCAACAAAAACATGCACTCATACTAAAACTATTGCTGTTGATTAAAGTCATTAGTATCCCCTCACCCACTCCTCTGCAATGTCATTAGTTGCAGCATCATATCCTTCGTGGTAGGGCAGACACCCTTCCAATCATAGACTCCATACAGACCATTCTATCATAGTCTAGCACCAAACAATAAAAGTAGGATTCAACTTATTCAGTAGAACCCAATCCCCAAATACATACAATCAAATGGCTTTTTACCTGCTCTAACACCAAACATATGTTTTATTTCACCAAAAAACTGATAGCGAGAGTACACATTTAGGGTGCGTTTGAAAACTCGAAAAATCATTTTTCGAGTTTTCAGTGTTTGGATAGAGGGGGGAAATGAAAGTCAATGGAAAATAGGGGCGTGGTCAATGGAAAATAGATGAGATTTTCCGGAAAATGACTTCTCCTTTTTTTAGAAGTCATTTTCCGTTTGCAGCAGTGGAGCAACCAATCACCCGCCGCCACCATCACCCACCACATCAAGAAGTAAAATTTAGAACTACATATGGGCCCTGTTTGGTAAAAAATTCAAAAAGCTAAAATTCAAAAAGCTACTCCAAGCAACTTTTTCAATTAGCTTTTTGAAAAAAGTAATTATACCAAACAGCTATCAACTAACAGTTAATTTACCAAATACTTTTCAACAATCAACTAATGTTATCAACTATTTATACCTTCTAATTAACACAATCAGCTAACAGCCATTTACCAAACAGCGCCATAGTAAATCTCAAAGAAGAATTCAAGAGACCAAAACAAGCAAGCACAGAAAAGTAACTTCACAGACAATAAGAAAAAATAAATGGAATGAAATAATAATAATAATATAATAACAATAACTTAGTTCAGTTTTACATCAAGCTAAAATTAATGCTCCCTTTCCCCACACTAAAAAGCCCCAAAACAAGAACTAAGTGCCTTTATTCAATCTTCATCCCTTGAATTACATTATCAGAGCAATATTGCCAAGGAAAATGAGGCATCAAGATACAAAAGCTTTTAGAGCCTAATAATGGGGAGCTTTACTAAAATTAAAGACAAGGGAAAATATTAATCCTAGAATTGTAAATTGCAGAGTTACACCTTACCATAACTTGACTGGGTTTCTTTGATACAGCCCAGTCAACAATTTGAGAAATCTGTTGTAAACAAATAGATGCTGAAATTCAATAATACTTTCAGAGAGTTTTGCCCTTCCAGCCTTATACCCATCAAGTTACTTCCAGCTTGCATTCCTTTCCACCAGCCAAAAAAATGCGCAAAATAATACTGTATAAAACCCTAAAAAAAATTGTATCTAAAGAGAAAAATGAATCATCTTGTCACTAGGCTACAAGCTGATCAAGTTGCATCTGCTCAAGCCAAGCTCCTAAAACAGAATGATCAATGGAATCAGTTTGAGAATTGGATTTCAAACCCTCACCGGATGGCACAGCCCCTGAAGTTCGGGCTGTCAACTTGTCTTTCATCTCAGGTGGTGATTCCTTTACGAGAGATTGCACCCAAGACAGGTCAGGCTCATCTCCATTGCTATTCAGCTTTTCAAAGGAAGATGACTTTCTCAAGCGACCAAGTTCATCTCCATTTACAGACCAATCAATCCTTGTATTGGGAGACCCCCAATTTGACCAAGAATTACTCACCGGCGATCCAATCAATGAGGCATTTCTAGAACCAAGATCCCGGGAACTGAAGCTACGTATCTGTTGATGCTGCTTCTCACGCTGAGCAAATGCAGAAAGTTGGGAACTCATAGGGGATATTGGCTCCACAGTTCTTGGTGACATTATACCAGGTGATGACACGGCAAATGAAGCCTGTAAACGAGGATGCTCAACATTTTTGGGAGAGAACACATTACCATTGGTTGGGGAGAACATGCTCTGCTGCTGCTGAAACTGATTGAAAACAGCTGATTTATGTGAAGGGGAGAAAACACCAGAAGCCGCTGCTTGATCAGAATATCGAGGGGAAGAAGTGATCTCAGCAGAAAATAGCTCTTCAAGATTTGAAGGGGTTAGTGTTTTAGAACAACAACCAGAACGACTCAAAGTAGTAGAATTAGGACGTGACTGTGAAAAATAAGCCAAGTCATTTAGAAGTAGTTGCCGGCTATCAAAATCCTGCAACATGTTCAAATCCTCAAGAGGAATATCTCGTGCATTGAGTGATGACCTCAGGCGACTTGACTGGAAGTTGCTTCCAGGGAGATGAAGAGTCGGAACATTTGGTTGAGGCCAGGCCATAGATGAATTAGGCATTCCATTGGCAGTTGGAGACATGGGTTGATTGAATGCAGGAGACATAACAGAATGTGATGACGGTGAACCAGGCAGAAGGCTCAATGCACCAGCCATGTCCATGACACTTGCTGTTGCAGCAGCAGATCTAGGTGATGGAACTGCAGAGCCAGTAGAAACATACAATGGACGAAGCTCTTCAGAAGTGTGGGCAAAAAAGCAAACTCGCCTATCACAGCTTATGCCATCCTTACATAAGCGTGTTCGATACTGAGCTGGATGAAGCCAGCACTCAAACACTCCATGAGCATATTCACACATATCACCCCGCCTGCAGGCACCCTTATGAAAATCTGGACAAGGCACACAGCTGTAGTGGTATTTCCTAGGATCTCTTCTGCGTGCATTTTCTCCAGGGTGCACAAAAGGGCATTCAGTCCAATCATGAGAGTAGGCTCTAGAACAAGGCCTCACCTTGAATGAGAACATTCGGAACTCATCCGTTGAATATATGCTGTTCTTAATGTTTGGAAGGGATGGATCAATAGGATATTCCTTCTTTTCTGGAGCAGAATTTGCACGAACATCACTGAATTCTGATGCCCTAGGAGAAGATAACAAGTCTGAAGGTGAACATGGGGACCCATTTTCTGGTGAGGAAGAGAGTATCGGTGAGGAAGTACTTGAAGGAGTCATGGACACCTGCAAATGGCATTCACCAACAGGTCCATCAGATATATTGCTCAATAGCAGTTCTTCAAGGGATGCTCTAGAACCTGGAAGCTTCAGCGGAACAACAATTACATCAGCGGGTCTCTGTCCATTAACATCCTCAATATTGGGATCAGCCCCAGCTGATAGCAGCAACTTAACAACTTCAGTGGCATTAACGGAGCCACCAGAGGCAGCACAGTGAAGAGCAGTGCACCTGTCTGGGCCACAAGTTTGATTGACATCAACTCCTGGCTGAGAAATGATCAATTTCAAGACATCAACACTACCATATGTTGCAGCAACCATCAAGGGAGTCCTTTCCTCATTGACAATCTGTTTAGAGCCTTTCTTGCGAACCAACCAAAGTCCAACTTCATCAACTGCA